AGTCAAGCACTGATTTCTCTGTCAAAGAAAAGGTTGAAGGAGAGCAGGGGATGCTTGATCCTGAAATTTCTGAGACTGACATCAAATCTCTTCCATACACCACAGAAAGAAAACATGACAACTCCTTCACTGACAAAGCTGAAGTCTCTGGATATTCTTATATTCTTCTGCACCTGTGGAGAGTGTCTCCAAGGCAATATGACCACTCAGTCATGAGAAAATCACCCTACTTCATTCCAGGGTACAAGCGTTACCTCTGTATAGTTGTATTCAAGATGATCCTCAGACAGAATAAAGTTCTCCATCGCTATTATGAAAGACTGAGTACTTTTCTTCATGTTTTGAAGTTATTTACTCAGTAGCTGAAGCATACTACTCAGACAAGTGCTATAAAAGCTTGGATATGGGCTGATGCAGTCATTAAAAAAGTTTTGCTTGAAAGAAGTAATCAATTAAATACCTGAAATGTGATCCAAGCTGTCACACGACTTGCGCATATTGTCTCCACCCTTCCCCTATGGGTGATCTACTTAAGGAGATTGTCCACCACTTCCAAGCCTTGTACTTTCAAGCAGAGTTTCAGAAGTATTTAGGAATATGAAGGTGTAGTGAAGTGTCTAATAGGATTTCTAAAGAGACTTCCATATCTGACTTCCATCAAAAACCAGTAAGTGCTACACAGAAAGCATTTTTGGTCAATCATTAGCAGCAGACTGAAGGCGCAAAGATGTTTGGAATTTCACAATCACCTCTAGAACAGTGAATCCAGATGCGTAACAGTGCACACTACGGCTAAGTTACAACTACGGACCTCCGCCGTGGCTGACAGGGAGAAAAAAATCAGATGATGGAGCTCTTGAATGGGCTGAACTATCCTTGCTGTTGTCTTTTCCTGCTTGGTGGACTAGAGAAGGACTACGGGGTGATATGGCTCAAACTCAGGGGAGTCAGCTAAACCTCTGAAGTTGGGTAAAATAAATAAACAGTCTAGAGCGTAGGTCAGAGAGTTTATCACTAGTTCTGTCCTATCACAAAGGTTTCACCACCAAACACCGACATACCACGATCACAAGTAAAGCTACTGCCTTCTCTACAGCCTGGCCGCAGAGAAGATGAACAGTCCTGAGCTTAAAACATGGGCTATGTCTTGTTTCCAACTCTGCTTCAATTTTGTTTTATGATACCAAGAAGGATTAGACTTTAGAATTATAGAATTTAGCACACAAATAAAAAATGACAACAAATTACTGTATTTTCAGACATGTATAACAGGCATACCCAACTGTATTCGTAGGATGTCCATGCAGGTGGCCAACGATGACCCACGGCTGCAGAAACAAGTTAGGGAAGGAGGAACAAAACCGGAACCGGTATCAGGATGAGGAACCGCAGCCTTTACGTATCCAATGAGCAGGAAT